ATCAAACAAATTGTTTTTGAATAATGAAGAGGTATAGTTAATTGAGAATAAATCGAAGCGATAGCCGATTGAGCTCTGGCGCTGGTGCTTTGCAGCCGGAAGCGAGGCTCATTTTGCGCTGGAAGTAGCGTTCGCGTCGCTTGGCCTGGATCACGATGCGCTTCTGCTCGTACTTGAGCTTGAGCTTGGCGAGCACCTTTTGTCGGTGGTTTTCATAGTAGACACGCGCCCGCTCGCGGTTTTTCTCGCGCTGGGCCACAGACGGCGTGCGGCGTTTTCGCTTGGTCGGCGTTTGCATCGATCGACTGCAGAAAAAAGCTCGAGTGAAAGCTGCACGACCTTGGTGTCCTACTGCACCGAAGGTCAAAACATGTGTTTTTGAATCACACATTTTGCTCACGTGTAGCGATCAGCATCAACGATTCGACAGATGCCGGCGGCAGCATCTTTGTGGGTACATGGGTTCCACGCCTGTCCTTCTGTGCGCCTCGTTGGGCACTCGACGTGGTGTGAATACGTAGCATGAACGCTCGAAATAATTGTAGGATGGAAAGGTATGCCAGCACTGCTCGATTCAATAAAAACATAATTCTCGGCAAAAAAGACCGTGTGAAGATACGAGTCGGGTCGTGCCAAAGCTTTTGCAGCGACCAACGAATCGTTTCGAAGCGATACAGCTGTTTTGATGGTCACCCATTTTGGGTCGTTCAAGCATGTGTTACGCTGCCCACCGGTGATCAAACCTTGATGGCCAAAGAAGGTAACGTGGCGTCAAATGGTAAAACTGTATTTTCTATTACACACAAACGTCGTGCTTAATTTCCCGTGGACGAGAACGTTGTGTCTATCCAGCTGCGTACTACATACGATCTGGTCGCGGCGGTAGACATGCTCACAAGTCGGGAAAATTGGACTCGTATTAGCATATCAAGTTTGTCACCTCCGACTGTGTCGGCAGGAAACACTCCTCTTTAGCGAGCAAGCCTTGCTGACAAAACTGGATGCGTCGTGTTTTGCACCTTCACAAGCTATTTTTGCACCTCCAACATCAGTTCATTAATCACGTGGCATATGAACAGCGTACTAGTACAAACACCACAAGAGTGGCTCGTCGTCCCTCTTTGATCGTTATCAGGTCATAGCGAGGCAACTGAGGGGCTCGTTGCAAAAACTGAGCTTCCGGTAGTAGCTCCCGTGCTGAGGCGCCACCCACGCTACATGGTTGGGCAAGGCCCATACGCTAGTACACTGTATTCCTGCATAAGGGAGTTCAAAGCTCTTCACAAATACCCACAAAAAGCACCAGGGTCGTCAAATTCTGTCGCGATTCCAACCCAAGGCTTTGCCGTTTACCATGTCGTGCAACCCTACGTGTCCTCAACATGTGGTCGCACCAGACGAGATGCCGTGCTATCTAGGTACATGCCGTGCCTGATTCGACCGGTTAGACAGGACGACGGCCGTTCGAAGGTGACAATGTCCCCTTCCACTTCAACAACATTCGTTTTATAACGCGAGGTGGCAGCAACCATCTGG